GCAGTGTTGGGCTACTCTGTGACCGCACGGCAATCCGTGCGGTTTCGTGCACCATTGCCACGTGTTCACGGATCGCCCAGTTGTGAACCCTAGCCCAAAAGTTAAATTAAAAAAGAGATATAAAAACACCCAAAACATTTTTTCAATAGTCCCCCACCTCGCACATACCCGTGTTTCCCCGAAAATAAGACGCTGTCTTATATTTTTTGGGGCTCAAAAAAACACACTAGGTCTTATTTTCGGGGTAGGTCTTATTTATTTTTATGTACAACAATCCACACTTATTCATGTGAAAAGTCTACATGTATTCATGTACAAAAATATGGTGATCAGTGGTGACGTACCTTTCCAAGAGCAATTTGCTAACCAATCGCTAGCCAGAATGAGCGAAGCGCACTTTCACTATCGATTCCTCATAGGCGGAGTGCATTTGGTATCACTCCGCCTGTGACAGGAGACGATGTTATAGAGGAGGCATCGGCTTATGTGGCTCTGCTCCCTCCATTGCCGACTTGCTTCCTCTAGCGCTGGCTTCGTTGGCACCGCTGATTCTCTCCTGCCTCTCCCCCGGCTCTTCAAGTTCCCCCTTATGCCACCACCGTCCCTGGGAATAGTCACAATTAGGTCTTATTTTCGGGGTAGGTCTTATTTTTGGGGAAACAGGGTACTAACGCAAATATGCGTCAGGTACTGCTACGTATGAAAACAATTGCACACGTTAGGTATTGCCGCGCGTGCCCGAGTAACAACAATCATTCTACAGGCCATTATTACTGGTTATCTCTAAAATGATGACAATAGTTGCAATTTCAAAGTTAAACATGTTTCATATCTATTTACATGGCACAACCTCCCGTTTTATATTTTGTCGAATAATTGGGTCAGAAATAAAGCTTATGTGTACAAAAAAATAACTGAAGTTTTTCATTAAACAGTTTCAGTAATATCATGCAAATAAAAAAATCACTATTTTGTTCTACATGGCCTCTGCTTGCATGAAATATATAATTCTGGGGGGAAAGGAAGTGGGGAGGGGGGTTAAGTGATCTTTAAGCCTAAAATGTGCATTTGAACATGTGTATAAAAAACCCACAAAAATGGCTCTAGCAGCGAAAGGGTTAAAGCTAGACTTGCCACCCAGGCAAGTCCTACTAGATTGTAAGCCCTCCCAACCCTATTGTTCTGAAACTGTATTGTACTGTAAATTGTATTGTAACTGTACTGTCTCCACTATTTTGTAAAGCGCTGAGCAAATTGTTGGCGCTATATAAATCCTGTACATACATCTGATGTGTATGTCCTCATATTCAAACATTCTGGAAATCTATCATACATGAATAGACACTCTGGCGGTTTTAGAATCCTTTCATCGGCTGTGTGTCTTTTTCATGCCCCGATGCCCACCCTCGCCTCCCCGCCATCGTACCTATCCCGATGGGAACATTTATGTATTTTGACTGCAAAAAAAACATCTTGACCAATTGGATATCCGGCAAACCTCCATCACTCCCTCAATTCAAATCTATATTATATCGCCTCATGCTCATAGATAAACTGGACACAAACTTTAATCAATCCCGCACGGAGTTATTCTTCCACATGTGGAAGACTTTTTGTTGACCTCCGAATTGCCCTTGAACCAATTAAGAGAAGTTATAACTATTTTCCAACACTCCACATGGTACTTCACGGAGAAGCTTTGTGGCTCTCTGGGAGCCCTAGAAGTCCTTTAACGTACCTCCCTCCCTTCAGCCCTATTACAAGTCGCGTATCTCACGACCCCCTGATCCTTATACTTGGTGGAACCATCAACACATCACCACACATTCTCAGCTGCTTATTTGCTAATCTGCTGAAAATCATCAATGACTCTATTGTGCTACGAAGTCCCAGCCCGCAATGCTTTTAGGCCCCCTCTTTTAGCATGATATTAAATTATCACCCTTTGTTTTGATAATTAGTACTATTATTCTTGATGTTTTTCATATTGAATTTGCTGATTCATTGCTCTGAAACGTTTGCACCTATTGGTGGTTGTAGGTGCAACACTGTAACCGCATTTATGTTCATTTTGACCACATGACGTTTGTACTGTTTTCTTTGTAGTTACAACTCAATAAATAAAAATGTATATGCTAAAAAAACAAAGAAACATGATTGATGTAAAAGAAGCAGAAGTGATTTAAAAGTTGGATCATCTATGCCTACAATACTGGCTTGATTTACTGCAAAATGAATTTTCACTTGTAGCCGCCATCACCTTCTGTGAGGTGGCTACTAGAAATGTAGTGATTGCCAGGGCTTTGCCAGGGATTATAGCTGGCATTCATCTGGTTAATTCCAGGTGTCCTGGCATTGAATGTACCTACCTTGGTGGAGTGTGGCTCTACTGTAGTGTGGGACAGCCTATGAGGGACACTGTGAGTGTATGTGCAATTCACCAGGCAATCAAGGGGTTTCGCTCTTGCATGCTGGAATAGGTACATATACTGAAGGGAATGATGACTGGAGGAGAAGAACCAGAGAAGATGATGGCTACTGGAGGTACCCGGAATAGAGAGGACCTCAGGAGCAAGTCTGTTGTCTCTCCTATTGAAGATGTGTGCTCATCCCTGCTCATCTGCTAATCAGATACATATTCAATTATGCCACAAATGGATCTACACTAAATTACTGAGTTGGACTGGTGAGTCTGGAGTCTAAGTCTGTGCTACTCTGGATATCTAGGATCCTTATACCCTCTCTCCCAGAGTGAATATGTAATAAAAGTTCTTTAGCATTATACTTCTGGAGTGAATATCAGCTTTGTGAGCACTATAACAGGACAGTTAAATGCTAATGGAGCAGCTGAAGACCAAAACCCCTAGACAACTAGTGATGATCCGGGTCATTTTGGCAGCTCCTTTCGGGGGGTGAGCGCTACACACTTATACTAGTGAATGAGGTCAAACAAATTGATAATTCACTTCACATATAATACCAAATCATGTGCAAGGGAATAAAAAAAAAAAAGATTTTTGATTGCACATGATTGGATGATCGATGTCTGTACAATTTGATATACACTGAGTGGCCAAATTATTATGACCACCTGACGTTTGTAGGCAAATTAGCTATAATTAGCTATAATTTCGCACTGAAGTTGCTAGAGGGCCAGACCATTATAAATAGGGAAGCAGGTTGTTTACCACGACAGTAGAAGTGATTTTTTCTGAAGATATGGGTAAACAACGCGATTTAACAGCCTTTGAACGTGGGATGATTGTTGGCACTCGGAACCATGGAGGGAGTATCAGCAAAACAGCAGAATTCATTAAATGTTCAAGAGCAGCTGTTTTTAAAGTGTTTAAAGACTGGACTGTCAGCCGAAAATCTGGGTCTGAACGTGCAAATTGTGGCCGTCAGCGACTAGTCAATGTTAGGGCAGAACGGAGAGTGGCAAGACTGGTGCAAGACAACAGAAGGGCAACAGTGCAGTGTCAGATTCCTTGCATCACCTTTCAACATCTCGTGGAGTTATGAGGTGGCCCAACGAAGTAATCTCGTGGAGTCATCTCGTGGAGTCATCTCGTGGCCCAACGAAGTACTAATGGGGTGGTCATAATAATCTGGCCACTCACTGTAATTCATTAAGCTAGGTGAGCTTCGTCTTTGTAAAGTGATCCGCCATAACCTCAAGTCCTCAAGACCCTGCTTACAAAATCGCTACTTACTGAGCATGCTTAGGTAAAGACAAAACTTGGTGAAATCAGGGCAGATGGAAAATCTGGGCACATCTAGATAAATCTAGGTACATTTTTCCCATAATTCTTTAATGAACACAGAACTACATGGGAACCAAATATAGCAGGATAATTTTTAAGATGATCATTTTGTATGGCCTGCGAATGATGTTATAAATATTCAAATGGTCCTTGGCAGAAAAAAAGGAGCGCCGTGTGACGCCGCATCTGTCCATGACGACGCTGCAGCCCAGGGAGGACCCGAGAACGCGATCCCGTTACACTCCCGGCTTCCTGATTGGCCAATAAGCCGGCTCCATAGCTAATGAGAAGCTGGGCGGTGAGTCATTACCATCCTTAATGGGACTTTTGGTATCGGTATTTGGTATTGGTGCGTACCGAAACAAAAATATCGGTACTCGATACCGAAAAAACGGCATTGGTGCACCCTTACTTCTAAATAGGGGCAGGGCCCTCCTTACCATCTTGTCTTGAATTCATTGTGATTGTAATGTCTTCCTTATATGTAAAGCGCTGCGCAAACTGTTGACGCTATATAAATCCTGTATAATAATAAACAAGTAATTAAGAAGTGAATTCAGCATTCCTCAAGATCTCAGTGCTTCATCTACACACATAACCAACACTTAAGATGCTCCATATTGCCTTGACCATGGTGCTTCTTGAGGTCAATGGGAACATGCTATAGTTGCGTGCCAAACGTTGCGGTGTGGTATTTCAATGTCATATTCAGAAGGCGGCAGCCTTGCCTCCTGAATGCCTGCAAACTGCTGCCCAACCACCCCTGAGAAAAGCGACCTATGGCCGATCGTTTATCAGTGGGGCGGTAATCCCTGCCTAATTCAATGAGTGATGGTCCGCTAGAATTTACTCTTTCTTGTTAAACTTTCTACAACTTATTGATCATACCATGAGTTCTAAATACAATCATTTATAGCAGGGGGTCCCCGAGACCTGAAAACTATTTTGATATGATGGGTTAAAAGGGCCTGAGAAAGGTTGCTATAGACAAAACAAGGTCAACATTTGCTGGCCCAGGACAGCACAAAAAAGTTTTTGAGCTGGGGAGAAATTGACTAAGAGAAGAAGCAGCAGAAGGAGAAAGACAGAAGAAGAGCTGACATGTCTCTGGTTCCTTATATTGCATTTAATTTCCCTACCTGTGTCCAGCCCCACAAGCTGCGCAGGATCAACAAAGCCTCTGTTGCTAGGAACGCTTCATCCCCGGAACCTTTGTGCAGCTTTTCTGGAGGACGACTTTCCGGACGTACATCACAAACCAACATGGCCGCGCCCCGACCGGCCGGCAATGTTTTCAGATTCCGAGATGCACGAGCCGTACCGGACCCTGTCATTGAGCCCGTGCTGGACGGACCGGCCGTGCTGGTGCTTGATAATGGCTCTTTCCAGCTCAGGGCGGGATGGGCCGGTGTGGGGCCCCAGATGCAGTTTCGCTCGGTGGTGGCCAGGAGCCGGGGTGGGCCCCGCAGTCTGAGCCGTGTGGGCAATGACATCCCTAGCTTGGAGCCGCTGCGCTGGCTGCTGCGGACCCCTTTCGACAGGAACCTGCCGGTGAACCTGGAGCTGCAGGAGCTGCTGTGTGATCACGTGTTCCAGAGACTGGGGGTTGCGTCAGAGGTAGCCATAGTGTGCTGTGTGTGCAGGGCAGTCATGGGTGGCAAGAGTACCAAGTGCCCCTCTACCACCAAGTCCATCTTTCCTCAATTGTCTTTATTGTTATATAGAGCAGGGAAGGACTACAACCCGATTGAAAATCCCCCCCCCAAAGTGAGGGGTACCACCTGCCTACAAATTATCATGACGGCCACTCGCGTGTGTGTGTATATAATTTTACAGCCCCCACCATTTTTTTTCTTCTCGACTGTGCTGAAATTGTTTTCTCTGATATCATTTCAGAGCTAGCCCATGTCCTTTCCTGGCTGGAGGGCATTAATCATCATCATCTCAAGCCTGACAGTCCCTGGCCCAACCCTTTTATTAAATGGATTTCAGTAGAGGCTCAGTATCACATATGGCTCTTGCCTATCTAGGAACACCCAGATCCGTCCAAACTGACATGTACTCATTTTGATATTTGCATAACTCCTCCCGAGAGCCAGCCCACTGCTTGTGGCTGAGGCCTCTTAGAGGAGTACTGAGGCCGGGTGCTGTAATGATTTCAGGAAGAGGAAGCTATATACAGCGCTTTGCTGGGCCCTCCCATCAGCCGTGATCTGTAATCATTGCATAAAGAACCACAGAGACCCATAATGACATGACTGTGTCTCCCATAATGTAATATAAACAGGTTTTAATTAAACATTTCCTTAGCAATTAGGAGGTAAAGGAGGAAGCGGAGATAGCAAAATAAAAGCAGATTCAATCCATTGTTATGTAATGATCAGACAAGTCATTCGTTTTATAGAGGTTATTGCCGTCATGCCTCTTTTAGTTTCACTGTTGGACACTGCGTTTTATTGCTCTCCTCACCGCGGCATCGGGAGTGACTCGCCATCCACCTCTGCCAGTTCTCTATAATCAGGTCGCCACTACCAGTCAGGCTGAAGACATAAGGGAGGGGGATTTTTGCAATGAGCGCTCTATACTGAATATTAATCTGTGTAAATCACTTTCCAGGTCACATTCAGACTCACGGTTGGGTGCGGCTAAAGAATAAATGGATCGAGTAGTTCATCCATTCATAAATTAATTTGAATGAAAGGTTGTATAACCCTGCTGTGTTTACTCCGGTTGTCTCTAATTGAGGCTACAAATCCGTGCTGTTACACTCTGTCAACATAAAAGGATAACCTCAGCTGAGCTGGTATTTCAGCTATTCCGGTTTCTTGTGTCCTGGGAAACTCAGTGGTCAAAATACAGCAATTACATTTATGGCTTTTTTATTTCCTCTGAGAAGTCTCACTTCTTGTGTTTCATGCTCTGTAGCTTTAAAGAATGGAAAATATAGTGGGGAGACTGTTGACTGTTGGGTTCAGATGACATACACCTATGCTTCTCTTCCTGCACAGGGCTGTGTTGACCATCCCATTATGTTTACTGAGGCGCCATGCACCCCTCTTCACGTCCGACAGATGGTGTCAGAGCTTCTCTTTGAATGCTACCATGTTCCCAGAGTGTCCTTTGGCATTGATGGCCTGTACAGCTTCTACCACAACAAAAAAGAGCCGTATCCCACCTCGGGACTCATCGTGTCTTCTGGCTACTATTGTACCCATATACTTCCTCTGCTGAATGGCAGGTGAGTGCACAGTTAATGCTATGTGTGCAACGAAAAGGCCAAATAACAGCACACTAATCCTCTAGCCATTGAAGAGATCCTTTACTGTAGCAGAAAAAAGTCAGAGGTTGAAAGATTAGGCATTAGCATTGCCTTTAGGTTCTTAGCCGCCTACCTTTTCCCTGTTACTGACTTACCATGCCATGTTCTGTGTTGGGTTTCTGTGCAGAGGTGGCCATCTTGGTAGAGGCAGTTCTTTGATTGCCAATATCCTACCTGCTTCTGTGATGACTGATGAACTAGTGATAGTGGTGGAATAATCAAAAGGCAGCAGGAGAGGTGGAGGAAGCCCAAAACCATAAAATAAATGACACAGAGGCAGGGAGATACTTGTACTGCAGGCCCTCAGGTACAGATTCCTCTCCAGTAAGGAAAACTGTAAGCAATATAGTGGAAACGGTTTTAGAATAGTGAGCGCTATGGGTCTCCTGGAGTGAAGTGAGAATCCAACAATGACTTATTAAATAAGTGGTATAAAAATTATAAATATATAAATATCTCTAAGTGAACATCTTTTTATGTGAAATAAAAATTGCTGAAGTGATATGTGAATAAACGAAACAAAAATCAACAATGTAAATTGACTAATAAAAATTGCTTAAATATAAATAAATGTGAATAAATAAGTAAATAAATCTTCAATAAACCGTGTGTCCGTGATTTTTTTCTGTATTACATCCTGGGGGATGATACGATCATCTTGGATATACACATTCAAGTTTTTGCCCCTTTTAGATTGGAGTACTTTTGGACACTATTTAACCTCAAAGTTTAGGACACGTTTATGATACACCACTGCACATCTATCAGTACATCACAGATGATGATAGATGCAGTTATATGTACACTGTAATACAGAAAAAATCACGGACACACGGTTTATTGAAGATTTATTTATTTACTTATTCACATTTATTTATATTTAAGCAATTTTTATTAGTCAATTTACATTGTTGATTTTTGTTTCATTTATTCACATATCACTTCAGCAATTTTTATTTCACATAAGATGTTGACTTAGAGATATTTATATATTTATAATTTTTATACCACTTATTTAATAAGTCATTGTTGGATTCTCACTTCACTCCAGGAGACCCATAGCGCTCACTATTCTAAAACCATTTTGTGAGGCTTATCTGGCCTTAGTTTCAGCAGCTTGCGGTTTACCCTTACTCTCTGTGAAATCTCCCCCTTTGGGTCTGTTTCATAGCGCAGAACATTCAACCTTCCAATATAGTGGAAACATCTCCATATCTCTTATGATTAGCAGTCAGAGGCAGTAGTGCCTTAGATCTCACACTACAGATATACAACTATGAGGTAGAAAGTCAACCGCCAATTTTTAGGAGAAATTTAAGGCAAATAGTATACTTTTCAGGGTGCTGCTTAGTGTTAATTAGCCTTTCTGGATTTTTCCCATCCCATAGCAAATCTTCAGGTCCATTTTTGTAATATTCTTGACCACTAAGATGAAGTAATGTGCATTATGATGGCATGAATATGGTGTGTTCATTGTGTGTGATATACTGAGAGTGCATTGTCTGTAGGCTGGATGGCAAGAACTGCAAACGGATAAATGTTGGAGGATCCCATGCTGTGAACTATCTCCACCGCCTGATGCAGCTGAAGTATCCTGGACATCTTTCTGCTATTACACTCAGCCGTATGGAGGAAATCCTTCATGAGCATTGCTACATTCCAGATGACTATATAGAAGGTAAGTCTTTACATGGCCAGAAGTTGATGAACAGCAGCTAAGAACTGAGGTTGTATCCCATGTAAGATAATGCTTTGTGATAGTCTGAGAAGTTTGCTGATCTGGAAATTTCTGAGAGCCCCTTCATGTAAAGAAATGAAAGTTCAGATGGTGTTGGCTTCTTGTACACATGCAGCAGGGACGTTAACTCTGGAGATATTTCAGGAACAGTAGGGGATATATAATTAGAAGCTTAGGGTACCCTCCAAAATTTGGATTTGGGAGGATACTCTAAGCTTCTCATTATACACTCACCAGCCACTTTATTAGGTACACCTTACTACTACCGTGTTGGACCACCCTTTTGCCTTCAGAACGTACTTAATTCTTTGTGGCATAGATTCAGCAAGGTGAGGGAAACATTCCTCAGAGATTTTGGTCTATATTAACATGATGGCATCACGGGCCCAAAGTGTGCCAAGAAAATATTCCCCACACCATTACACCACCAGCCTCAACTGTTGATACAAGGCAGGATGGATCCATGCTTTCACGTTATTTACGCCAAATTCTGACCCGACCATCTGAATGTCGTATCTGAAACCGAGACTCGTCAGACCTAGCCAATCTGATTTAAGGTTCGACATGTTGTGCGTTCAGAGATGGTATTCTGCATACCTCAGATGTAATGAGTGGTTATTTGAGTTACTGTTGCCTTTCTATCATCTCGTACCAGTCTGCCCATTCTCCTCTGACATCTACAAGGCATTTTCGTCCACACACCTGCCGCTCACTGGATATTTTCCCTTTTTCGGACCATTCTCTGTAAACCCGAGAGATGGTTGTGCGTTCAAATCCCAGCAGATCAGCAATTTCTGAAATACTCAGACCAGCCCGTCTGGCACCAACAACCATGCCATGTTCAATGTCACTTAAATCCCCTTTCTTCCCCATTCTGATGCTCGGTTTGAGCTTCAGCAAGTCGTCTTCACCACGTCTAGATGTCTAAATGCATTGAGTTGCTGCCATGGGATTGGCTGGTTAGCAATTTGTGTTACCAAGCAATTGAACAGGTGTACCTAATAAAGTGGCCAGTGAGTGTATATCCCCTATTCAGTGTGTCTTTTGAAGCTGGGGTACCGCTGCAGTTATTAAGATTTGAGGTGGTTTCATCTTTGCCCCTGCCCCCCAACCTTTGTTTCAGGGGTCAATTTATTTCCCTTGAAGCGATGTTTCAGGAACATCCAAACTAAGCCTAGGTTTCCAAAACACAGACCTGGAAGTGGGCATGCATTGATAAATTGGTATGACCTCCTGATAGCAGTAATACATGATAGGGTTTTTATAGCGTTTTTAATACCGTTTAGTTACGATGCCCTGGGTGTGTAAAGTACAGGTTCACTTCAAAGGTAAAAAAATAAACACACCAGCTTTTATTTTCTTGAAAATTGCTTAACATCTCCATTTCTGTATAAATTATATCTATGAAGACCGTTTGACAAGTTCTTGTAAATATTGTTTCTTTTTTCTGCCCATCAAAAAAAGAGCTGAAAAAATGGCGTTGCCCAGATTACTATGAGCAGAATGTGCACAAGATGCAGCTGCCATTTTCTTCTAAGCTGATGGGCTCTGCAGTCCCATCAGAAGAGAAGCAGGAGCGCAGGCAGCAGCAGCTTAAACGCCTGCAAGAGCTTAATGCACGACGCCGAGAAGAAAAACTTCAGCAGGATCAGGAACGATTGGAGAGATTGCTCTATGTGCAGGTATCTAACGTTCATAACAATTCTGGTGCACTTCGTTCATTTCCCACATGCCTAAGTACGCAGGTCGACATACCTGCTGTGGCCATTATATATTCTAATATTCTCACTCTCCACAAGGTATTTTTTTATTTTATATTCTGGAGAATGCAACAGGAAGAGCTGAAACATGCAAACAGGGGCAAGGACATCCAAAATCCCAGGTGGATTCTTAAAAAAACTAAAACTTAACCCCCTCCCTTCAGTTAGTATACCAAAAATCAGAACTCAAATGTCACATGGTCTTTCTGTAATCTGCCCGGCTTTCTGTTGTATCAGGTAGAGCAGAGGCGGCTCTTTAATTAGGCAAATTAGGCGGTCGCCTTAGGCCTCGCGCTCCCGAGGGCCTCGCGGCTGCCTAATTTGCCCTTATCCCTGGCGAGACCCCACAGAGCCCTGGTCTCACCAGGGCGATGTGGGGTCTCACAAGCACCAGGGCTCCATAGGGTCTCACCAGGGCTGGGAGCCATGGTGGGAGCCCTGGGGAGACACTACGGAGCCCTGGTGCTGGTGAGACCCCACATCACCCTGGTGAGACCCCTCAGAGCCCTGGGGAGACCAGGGCTCTGTGGGGTCTTACCAGGGCTCTGTGGGTCGAACAAGGCTGGTTAGACCCCACAGCACCCTGGTGAGACCTCACAGAGTCCTGCTACCCTGGTGAGGCCCCCTCAAAGCCCTGGTGAGACCCCACAGAGCCCTGGT